ACGTGTCGTCCGGATCTCGCCTATGCCGTTAGCCAGCTCGCGCAATTTTTGCGTCGACATGAGGGGGAGAATCGGCTAGATCTTCTTCACGCTGTTCAGCATTTCATTTCGACAACTGAAGTCGGACTTACCTACCAAGTTACTGCTACGAAAACCTTATATCTTAACGAGTACGTCGATACTGATCATGCAGCAGATACTACTAATCGTCGATCTCGCACCGGATTCATCTACCGTCTCGAACCTATTGGGACTATCTCGTGGAACTCTACAAAGCAAGAGCTGGTAGCTCTTTCATCTACTGAAGCCGAGTTTATAGCTGCCTGCACAGCTACTCGCGAAGGTCTATCTGCAAGAGCTACTGGAGGAAGCAAAATTAACGACAAGTACACAGTTCACCCTGCAGTGCGGCAATCAAAGTGCAATCCGAATTGCGCATCAACCTGGTTTCGCCAACAGGACGAAGCATATTTCGCTACGGTTCCTTTTCATGAAAGATGAAGTTGAGAAGGAGAGAATGCGATTGGTCTATTGTTCGACCAATGAAATGGCTGCAGATTTTCTCACCAAGAAGCTGACACGTCAGAAATTCCAATAATGCAACGAGCTCTGCGGAATTATCAAGAAGTGACACTATTGGACTTCCAGAAATGAAGGGGATTGTTGTGATAAAATCGTACTTAAGCATTTCTGTTAATAGTCTCGATAGATATTGTTGAGTTACACTATAGTTAGCATTCATAGAATGAAGTCAACAAATAGCGCTCGTCATGATGATTACGTCAGCAAGCCGTTTCAGTCACGCGAACAGACGCGCTCTTTTAAGTAACGGTTAGAGCGCATAGCGCAAATAGCTCGAGCAGGTACATCACCGAATAGGTACTTCTCGCAGATATAAAAGTAGCTTGTACAACTTCAATAGTTACCTTGTTCTTCATTAAATTATGGTCAACACTTTATACGTTCTAAGACTTCCGCTTTCTTACTAGTCTACCATTCCAGCAAAGATCCTTGGTTAAGTCTTGAAGTTTCGCAAGGCTGTAACACTGACTCTGGTGTTACAACTTGTTAATACTGGCTATTACTGGAGGTACTTCCAGTATTACTGTGCACTTCAAGTACTTGTGTCTGCAGTTTCTATACTTCGTCTCCTGCACCACCTTTCAAACTCTTTCAGATTTGTCGTTGGTGCGACCGTGTCGTGTCGTGCCTGCGGGAGTCGGCTCCGAAGTGCAGTTATCTCAGATTCAGCTTGTGCCGTTTCAGCTCTCAGACGCGCCAACTCGTGCTTGTACAACTCGTGAGTAAGACAGACTTCTTCAAGTGTTGTCGCCCTTTCTTCATGAGTCATGGCGTTAGACGTCGACAGATCCACCATTTCGCGGAAGTTTTGGGCGGCTTTCGGCACGCTGGTACTGCGAACACAGTCGTGACTCTAGAAAATTACAGTATCATAAATATTACCAGCACAGCGGATATGCAGTAAACACAGGGCGTCAACCTCCCTAAGTGTCGGTATTGCAGCGGAACTAGAGCGTAAGGCTGAGGATCGTTAGCTTTGATGGCCAGGTGTAATGAAGCGCAAAGAGCGTGTGTCGAAGGATTGAGTAAAGAGGAAACAATAAAACTGATGGCACATCAACACAGTATGGAGCATGGATATACAGTAGCTAGTCTAGAGCACGCGGTCGTGGCTCGGCAGAGCTGCGATATATGGTTCGTAAATCGCGCCGAGATCTAAGCATGAAACAGCAAGGCACGCAATTTGCATGCGGCTCGTCAGGAGGCCACATTTGGGTACCGCGATTTGAATTTTGCGGCACAGCTGCGCGGCAACCCCGTTATAGCAGTGTACACCTTACTAAATAAAACCCGTGATAATGAAATACCATTTCCTTACACGCGCGAAAGGATGCATGTTGTTTACACTCACTGTAAACATGTCACAGAAAGCATGGAAGACGCTACAGTTCCCGACAATGTATGCCCCAAATATTCTCATGTCATTTCACAGATGTGTACTGGACTACACGTAAATTGCTTTCTGGAAGCTCCTCTGTCGAAACTCTCTAACTGCAAGGAATTTGCCTCCCTTCGTATCGCGTACCCTTGTTACGTGTGTCCACCCGCCCAGGCCTCGCAACCAGCCATGCAAATGGGGTCGTGCAATGGGGTTCAGCGCCGTCCACATTGGTTTAGGACATGCTACATTGCGTCCGGTTCTCCTATCATTTTCCAATCTTGGCACTGTAGAAAACTGATAACCTGATAGCTACATTTGCCTCGAAATAGTCATGTAGCAGATCGGAGGGGAGGATCACTTTCGCAACGAAATTGGGAATCAATCGCGCGTCCAAAACATTAACGATCCTCCTCGACAAAGTACCAGATCGCCCCACTCCAAATGCCACGAAATCATACGGGCTTTGCCAACTCGCAATTGCGGAAAAAAAAAGTGACAAGGCAAAGCCTCCAGTCTCGCGCCGCGCTGTAGGGTCTGATGGATATTGCGAAGGTGTAGGGAGGGTTGCTGGGTTTCGAAGAACTCTTATGCGAAAATCCATGCTGTCCAGCTGCAAATCGATACTCGACATCGATAGCTGCAAATCTGGAGCATGCGTATGTAGCGTACTAAGGTAGATATTGGAGATTGTTTATATTGAGTCAGAATCGAAATCGATTTTTTTGCCACGATCTTCCGAAACAGATGCAATGGCTGAGTTCTACAGGCATTTGACGTTGACGTCGACATCGACATTGAGGAAGGTCCGCAAGTGATTTCGAGAGCACTGGTTACCACTCAAACAAGGTGCACTTTCCAAACCTCGCTTGGAAGCCACGCGGCCAAATTGTGGAAAGCACATGCGAAAAGAGAGAGGAGAGATTCTCAAATTTGCGCAACAAAAACCTGCTGCCCCCGGGCAGTAGGTCGAAAGAGTGGTGTTGTTAGAAGTCATACGACTCTCTTTGGCGATGGGTTTTTTTAGCTGCGGTTGTTTTGCAGGGCAGGCCCAAGTTCGAGAGGTGGGGTAAAGTGGTGGCACTGGTTTTTTTGGGGTGTGGAGGCCTAGTACACCCTTGCGGCTGATGTAACGCCACACGCAAGGTGAACTTCGCGATTGATCGAACGCCATCATTGCGTCAAGTTTGCGTCAGATTTGCCAGGGAGGGAAGCGGGGGGGGGGGGGGGGGGGTGTTTCCCTGACGTAGATGTCATCTGTACGAGACATGTTCTGCAGGCATATTGATGTAACTAGGTTCGGGTACCTTGTGCCAGGTTTGGGCGAAATTTTGCGGGCTGACCCTCGATCCGAAGCAAAAAATCTCGCTTTCGGAACGTGCTCTGATGTAATCTGCACTTTCCTTTCGTGCCTGTAGAACGCAGCCAATGGCTGGGTTCTACAGGCATTTGACGTCGACGTCGACGTCTACATTGAGGAAGCTCCTCAAGCGACTTCAAGAGCACTGGTTACCACCCAAACCAGGTGCACTTTCCCAACCTCGCTTGGAAGCCACGCGACCAAATTGTGGAAAGCGCAAGCGAAAGGAGAGAAGAGATAATATCAAAATTGCGCAAAAAAAACTTCTGCCCCAGGGCAGGAGAGAAACTATCCGGGGCAAAATGACGAAAAAAGGTTAAGCTGAGATATGACTCGTTGGCGATGGGTTTGTTCAGCTGCTGCTTTTTTGCAGGGCTGGCCCAAGCTCGCGAGGGGGGGGGGGTAAAGTGGTGGCGGTTATATTTTTGGGGTGTGGAGGCCTAGTACACCCTTGCGGTTGATGTAACGCCACACACAAGGTGGACTTCACGATTAAGCGAACGTCAGCATTGCGTCAGGTTTGCGTCAAATTTGCCAGGGAGGGAAGCGACGGGGGTGTTTCCCTGACGTAGATGTCATCCGCAGATGGACCTGTTCTGTAGGCATGTCGATGTAACTAGGTTCGGGTACATTGTGCCAGGTTTGGACGAAAATTTGCAGGCTGACCCTCGATCCGAAGCAAAAAATTTCGCTTCGGAAGGTGCTTTGATGTAATCTGCACTTTCCTTTTTTGCCTGCAGAACGCAGCCAATGTTGCGCGCCCTTACATGCTGGCGGTGTTTCACCAGGTTTTTCTCGAGGTTTGGCTGGCGGCTCAGAAAGCGTTGGCTCGGCCGAACTTGTGGTGCAGCCGTTCCTTGCGAAATAAAAATCGGGACAAAAGTCCGGACTTATTTCGCGAACTAAGCCACTTCTTGATCCACGACTGCCTTGCGACATTCGCGATTTTAACCAGCAAAGGGCATGGTACATTAGCGCTCGAACGGTGTTCGAACGAAGTTCCACCGAACTGTAGCACGCGAAAACAAATTTCAATACAGTTTACCCAATCTCGCGAATCTCGATGTCGAATTTTCGCCAACATACTGGCGCGTTGCCCATAGGATCCCTGGCTGCTGAAGAAGTGTCGGTTCCCCCTAGGACAGGCTGTGCAAGCCATCCACTAGCACAGCACAGTACAGTATCCGCCGCACCCGCATCCCCTGCCCCTTGCCGCATGATTTGTACACCTATCCTGCGGTAATTGTACACCCTGAAATTGAGTGGCATCAGATTTTGTTTCTACCCTGACATTTCTGCGTGCGTAGACAGTACTCCCTTGTTCCTACTGGCTAAGCGGGGCAGACTCCACGCGGGCAAAATCTTTGAGCACTGCCTAAGCTGACGTCGTGTTTCCTGACTCGAGAAACACCAACTCGAGCAGTAAACGTTTCGTTTAGAGACCCAAGCGAAATTTGTTTCTCAAGGGTATCCGGATCTGGTCTTCAGGAGCTGCTTTCATGGAGTGAATACCCTCTCGGTGGCACCCCCTGTGAAAATACCAGATGTAAAATTACCGCGGTGTAGGTGTAGTGGGCTTTTCTTGGCACTGCATATAAACAGTTTCAATCAACAGTCGCAACAAACCTGTTAGAGCCTGATGTTCGAGGAATGGCCACGGCCCCTCATGTTCTCCGCGTTAGTGGGAATGGGTTGTCCCGCGTCAGCCTCACCATTCACCGCCCTTTATTCTCGAAAAATGGAAAAATACCCAACCTTACTCCGTGCAGCCAGCGACACCAGGCTCCAAGGCAACAGTAGTCTAGGGGACAAAAATGAGACATACTCCTGACAGCCTGAAAACCACGAGGCCCTTTCTTAGCTCTGTTCTTGATGATAGTCCACCTCCCGCAGATAGGTCGACTTTGGGATCGTCGAAAAGCCTTTGTTATGACCTAATTCTCATGCACTTGCGGCATATTAGCTCGCTGCTACCGCTTTGCTTAGACAAGCCTGCGGAGGTAGTTCACGGAAGGATTTTCCTGACACTTTTCTGAGGGCTTCAAATTGGAGGATGCGTCCTGACGACCTCACGTCGCTCGTAATCCACCAGAGTCAGTACGATTGGCTTCCTGCTAGTTCATGTGCTGCGATTTCTCATTATGAATGCTCACTTGGATCGTTCCAAAACCTGAAGAGTCGTTGACCCTGTCGTGCAGATGACGTGGCTGAAAGTCCACCTCGAGTACCAAGGCGAAGGTTTCAGTCAAGAATTTGGGTGAAGCTGACCTTTTTTGTGGGCGTTCTTGTGCTTATCTGTTCGGGGGTTCCGGCTATCATCCTCTGGAGGTTGACCCAGGCAACATTGACCGAAGAAATACGGGAGAGACTTGACATTGTAGCAAGCTTTCGTCAAGAGCAGGTACATTGTCAATCCTCCTGGGATCACTAAAAGCCCAAAAAACAAAAACAAAAAAAACCATTAAGAAAGTACATTGTCAAGGACGGCTTCTTTTGAAGAATCCCTAACCCATCGTATTTTCTCATCTAATATGGTTTCCGTTTTTGTCTGTGCTGTTTTAGATACTCACTTACATCACAGAAGATCAAGATACAGTGAAGCTGATTGCGTCTCGTGTTGCCATTTCGTCCTTGCTTCTCATGCACAAGCAAGGGAAGGCGAATCTCTCATGGAGAAACATCAAAGAAGGCACCAGGGAACTCAACTTTGCGGTAATGAATGCAGCTAATGTCATGTCATTAGGAGCTTACAGCTATGATGGCAGACTTCTGTTTTCCAGCAAACACCCACCTGAATTGAAGGCATTACCAAAGCGACTGCATGAGCGGGAGTTGATCGCCAAGGACCGGAACATATCAGTGTGGTCCGGGATTCCATACACAGGGTACAATAATACACTCCTTATTGACGTTGCAGCTCCTGTCTACTCTCAGGTATACTGTCTATTTTGGCCATTTATCACGGCATTAGCATTTCAATGTTGTCACACACAGAGACGTTGAATTCCGCGCTCTCATCTTGTTTTTCTTCATGTTTCAGAATATATCCTGCGGGATTGTTTTCGCAGTAGTCAATGCCAATGAATTTAAGGAGATTGTTCACGACGGGACTGGCCTTCAGTCCACGGGACAACTTCTTGTTGCCTATCTTACTGAGAACGGAAACCTTGTGAATTTCGTAATTCCTCCTGTAAAGGCTCCTACAAGTACGAACACGACTTACAAGGGCGTTGCTTTCAGGGCCGCAGAAGGCCAGGCTGGTTTCTTTGAAGGGATTGACTTCCGTGGAGTGGACATCATAGCTTCCTATCGACCCATTTACTACGCCTCCTGGGGTAATGTCATGCATGATTTGTTTTGTTCGTTCAACCATGACTTCTAGGCTCTGTTGCCGTGGGTCATGATCCATGTAAGCTTTCTGCTGGTGTTTAATGTGTCATGCGTCAGTAGAAGTTGCCTAAAACTTGCATATAGGCTTGCAGGTCTGGCAGCGACGTTGGACAAAGCAGAAGCATACTCGTCCATCCTGAAGCTTGAGAGGATACTTCTGATTGCGTTGTCTTGCATTCTTGTGCTGGGAATACTTGCAGCGTTTCTATTGGCCAAGGTATGTGGTACATCTATGTTCCGTTGTGCGGATTAACGATCTCCATGGGCGAGCTTCTTCTGACCGTCTCCAATCCTGCCCACTTGCAGTACTTCTCTCATCCTATAACGGATCTTGGTGATGCAGCTAGCAAACTTGCACGGGGTGATTACACTGCAAGAGCCCATGGCCGCCAGGGCTGCTTGAAAGATGAGATTGATGAGCTCTGCACTGTCTTCAACTACATGGCTGATCAAATCTCCAATTCCTACTCAACTTTGGAAAATAAGGTGTGTGTTGTCCTGTGTTGGTCAGTGGTTCGTCATTTTTTGCTGGATTATATTCTGAAGTATTGAAGCCAAAAAAGCCTTTCTTGGTTCAGGTGGTGGAGCGCACTCAGGAACTCGCACTGTTGAACGCGGGTTTATCTGCTGAGGTGGAGGAGAGGAAAAAGATAGAGTTACAGCTTCAGGATGCGAAGGAGCAGGCGATTTCAGCTGACAAGGCAAAATCAGAGTTCTTGGCAAATATGTCTCACGAAATCAGAACACCATTGAATGGCATCATCAACTGCACAGAGCTTTGTTTGGACACCCCACTTGGCACTGAACAGATCGAGTATCTTGAGCTGGTAAGCCTTTATTGTTTTCTGCAGGGCCTTTTGTAGCTGAGCCACAGAGCCGAGAGAAATAACTTTTACTGTGTGCAGTCTTTGTATTCAGCGAAGCATCTTCTGCGCCTGATTGCTGACATTCTGGACTTCAGCAAGATCGAGGCTGGAAAGATGGACCTGGAGAATATCGAATTCTCATTTGAAGACCAGGTACATCTTTCCTGCCGTTTCTTGCCGTGTTCACTTCCCCCAATCGCTTTGGAACTTGCTGATTACCATTTCATTTCGCAGATGGAGCACGCTGTGTCTGTCCTTGCAAGCCGGGCAAGGACGAAGGGGCTTGTGCTGGTATCCTGGCTGAAGTCCCCTAATCTGCCAGAAGTTCTTTTGGGCGATCCTGGACGGCTTTTTCAGATTTTCATCAATCTCTTGGGTAAGTTACCCTGTCTTCTCTCATACGATTTCAGTAGATATGTTCTTCAATGATGTGGGTGATTCTATTGTTGCAGGAAATGGGATAAAGTATACTGACAAAGGGGAGGTCGTATTATCAGCAACTCTTCTCTCTCTTACGGATCAGACTGCCGAGGTTCTTTTTGCAGTTAAAGACACAGGTTCGTAACTATTTATTGCTTTGGACAGCTGTATGCGTTTGGATGGATCCTTGGTTCAACGGTCGTATTTTCCTCTCTGCGCCAGGGATTGGCATACCTCAGGCCAAGCAGTCACTTCTGTTTCAAGCCTTCAGTCAGGTCCATGCATCAGATGCAAGGTGAGATAGTGATCTAGTTGAGTTGAGACGTCTCAAAACTGCTCGTGCATCAGATGCAAGGTGAAGCACAGTTGCATTTGAGAACTTATTTTCATTTTTGTCCTTTTCTTTTCTGAAGGCTTCTTAATGTTCCCCATGCATTTCAGGCTGTATGGAGGGACGGGATTGGGATTGATGATCTCATCCCGCCTGGCTAATGCCATGGGTGGGCATATGTGGGTTGAGAGCGAAGCAGGCCGTGGGTCAACATTCTTTTTCAATGCCAAGTTCGCTGTGCCAGCCAGGGCTGCTCCATCATCAACACTGGTGCCGTGCAGTTGTGTGTGCCCCAAGTCTAACCATCTGCGCGCCCTGGTCGTGGACAAGAATGATTCAACCAGGAAGTCCATCGTTTCAGCTCTAGAGGTAGGACTGTATTTAGTATATTGTTTTGTTTCCATCTTGGCCCAGTGAGACTGATTCTTTTTCCCGCCAACGCTTCCATCTTCACAAACACGATAGCAACTGCTGCTGCTATTTGTTTTGCAGAGATTGGGTGCTGAGGCGAATGATACTGGTGATGCGCTCTTAGCCTTGGAAATGCTCCAAACCGCGGCATATGAGGAGTCACCATACACACTGCTCATTGTCGACTCGCAAATTGGGGATGGGGGCACCAACTGTGCATGGCTGCTGCATCACATCAAGGAGCAGGATCTGCTGCGCTGCAAGAACTCAAGATGTCATCAATCAAGAATTCAAGAACTGAAGGAAGACAGCAGGAGGGGCGCTGTGCAAGGCAGGGAGGGTTCTTTAGGGCGCCCTGAGTCACCGACACCAGATTGGTTGTTTGCAGGGGAAGGGAAAGAGTCCCGTTCGGAAGAGCCTGATGCCAGTGCTGGCGAACAGCAGCAACTAGTGCCAGGTGTTGGGTTGGAGGCAGTCAGAGTCAGAACGATACAAGATTCCTCCAGGACAACTCATGGCGGTCTATCGCATGCGCTTGAAGAGGATGCAGTGCTTCCTGTTGTGTTGCTGACACATGGAAGTACTGATGACAAGTCTCTGTAAGTGGTTGTGACATGTTTTCTATGTTTTCTTTGTCCTTCTGATTGCTGATTATTGCGACATGCTTAACAGGTGCAAGAGCCTGGGTGTTCAGTTTCACGTCCCCAAGCCTGTGAAGAGAAAATTGCTTATACAAAGGGTCAAACAGGCATTGAAACTTCCGCTGCAGGTACAGTTGCACGTTCATGTCCCTTTTCTCAAGCCTACTGCAGACTTTTCTTTTTCTGATCTGAAGCAGTTAGATAGCAACCCAAAAAAAAAAAGGCCTTGATTTGCCTCTTTGGGTGCTGCAGGAGCGGTTGTCCGGAACGAATTCTACCGCTTCAGATGAGGCAGCAGCAGCAGCAATTGACAGGAGCCTGAAAATATTGGTTGCAGAAGACAACATTGTGAACCAGCGGGTGGCACTGACGCTTCTCCGCAAGTGGGGGCATGAGGCCGTTCTGGCCAGCGATGGTGAAGAAGCGGTCGAGAAGGTTCAAGAGGAAGACTTTGACGTGATTTTAATGGATGTGAGTATCACGACACCCCACCCCAGCCCGCTTGCTGTGTAGTATGGTATGTGTCTGACTGAAATTCTGGCGCTAACTTCTCTGTTTCATCCCCTTCCAATCCCCACAATATCCCTGCCCCTTATTGCATCTCTATGTTGCTGTGCACGTTCAGGTCCAAATGCCAGTTTGTGATGGGCTACAAGCAACCAAGAGGATACGGGATTATGAGTCTACAAAGAATCGCCATACACCAATTATAGCCGTAATGCTTGCAACAAGGTGCCTTCACCATAACATCAGCATGGCCCAATTTGACAAGATGTTCCCTTTGCCATGCAGATGACTGCACAAGCTCTGATTGGAGATGGCATGAAGTGCATCGACGCAGGGATGGACTCCTACATGAGCAAACCTGTAATGTTTTTGTTTTTATCGTTTTCCTTTTCCTTTCCTCTTTTTGTTCCCATTGCTATGCTGGCATGCTCATCTGCTCTGCCAAATCAACTCGTGGTTGCAGCTGAATGCATCAAAGTTGAAGGACCTTTTGAGGCTGGTATGCCGACCACATGCTCTCCCTAAGCCTACAAGTGACTCCACGAGGGAATTTTGACGCGTCTAGCATATTGCCCCCAAAAATGCACAGAAGCCACGCATGAGGCATCTAATTTCGGAGGCGAGGGCTGTATTTGTACTAAGCAATTCGATAAATTCATGTTGACTATCACAGGACGGGCTGAGTCTTCGCCTGTATTACAAAAACACGGATGTAAGGGGGCTCCACAGATGGCGCGGTTTTACGGTACCAGCCCATGTCAGTCCCCTCACCCTAGGCTTTCCAAGACTGCCACCTATAGGGTGTGTCCCCCCAAGAGTACGCCTCGCAGGCACTATGTGTTATGTACAGTTCACCACGTTGGGAAATGGTTTTTCTGCTTCACTTTGTACCAGCCCTGTACACTTGGGATACGCCCACAGGAAAAGATCTGCTGTAATCAACAGGGGGTACAACCCTGGAGGACACAATACCTAGTGGATCAAGCTCATTATCGCAGCCAACTATGGTGTACATGATCAGCAACCTCTGTATTCTTCGGTTTCAGGAGGAGCCATGTGAAATCTAATTCAGCCTACATACCTAATGCTCAATCTTGCCTCCCTCTCAACTTCACATCGCTTCCTAAAAATGACAACCGTTTGTTTGGATACACAACCCAACAATGGGCAAAGCCCAGATGCAGGAATGGGGGAGTGGAATGAATGATGGGAAGTTATGAGGTGTGAGAAAAGCTACCGGTATGTTATGAAATGGATGACGACACCAAGCAGCTCATTGAAAGGTATGATGGGAATGAAGTTGGAATGGCACAGCTCCCTTATTGCGCTGATTCACCACTTGCCGCCGTCGCCTCACTAGCGGCTGGTTGCGACTGGCCCTCAGCTGAAGCATCCACTGATTGGTCCTCAGCAGCAACAGCAGCAGCAGCAGCATCAGCTCCAGTCCCTGCCTGTCCTTCCCTGTCAGCTGCTGTCCCTGATGATCCTTCACTGCTACCCGCCAGCTGCTCTTGAGCTGCTGCATCTGCCCCTTCCCCTCCAGTACCAGCCCCCGGCTCCCCTGCTAAGCTCACCTCTGAGCTTGCAACCAATTCACGAAGTGTTGCATCGCCTCCTAACAAGGGAGTATCAGGTGCTGCAGGGTCTGCAGCAGAGGCAACATCTGCAATTTCACCTGAGGTGGTGTCAGCAGGTGTATCTGCAGGAGGCTCCGCCACCTGAGCAGGTGTGACTTCTGGTTTGGTATCAGAAGCATCCTCAGATTGCGGTGCTGCTTCTGGCGTGGATGCGGCAACGAAGGGTGAATTCGCAAAAAGGTCCACGTCCTGCTGGGCGCTTCCTGACTCAACACCCGATTCCCCAGTGCTGAGGTCTTGAGAGCTTTCTGCTGCAGCACCGCCGGATTCTTCAGTGCTTGCTGCTGCAGCGGCCGCAGCACCAGCAGCAGTACTCTCGTCACTTCTTGTACCTTCAGTCGCAGCATCCTCAGGTGCAGCAGATACATCTGCCTCTTCAGCTGCCCCTTCAGCTGCCCCTTCAGAAAGAGTGGCATCGCCAGAGGAGAGTGATGCCTCGACTGCACTGCCCTCCCCCCATCACCTGCTGCAATCTGCTGCTGCTCCTCTTGGAATGCCACCCATGCGGTCTGTGCTGCCTCAGAGGATGTGAACAGGCTGCTGGGACCGTCCAGCAACAACGGCCTGGGGAAATCAAAACACAAGAAACCAGGTGACACAAAAGTGTAATGAGAAGTACCCAGTTAGTAGAGGAATGGGGCGAGGGTGAGGAATGGAAAAGGAATGAGAAGGTTCAAGACGGGTGAGGCGGAGAGTGGGGGTGGGGGAGTGGGGTTAGCATGGGGGTTGGGGGGGCAGGGGTGGGGGGTGGGAGGGGGGTTTGGATCTGAGTACACACAACACAAAGAGCAGAGAGAGAAGGGAAAAAAACCTCAAACGTATGCATGAAATGGAGGCTGTGTGCATAAGTAGATAGCCCTGCGCGCTCCCTCGAATGAGGACTCGTCAGTGCCTGTCTAGGTGTCTTTTGAGTCGACTCAAAAGAAGCTATGCGCATAAGTAGGTAGCCATGCGTGCTCACTTGAATGAGGACTCGTCAGTGCCAGCCTGCTCGGTGCTGCCCTCTTCCTCTGCAGCATCTTCAGCCTCTGCCTTGACGCTACACAGAGGGTTGTCAGGCTCCTCCGCTGCTGGCGTTGGCAGAAGCTCAGACGAACCACTGACAGGACAAGTGCATGGTGATGGCAACAGACAAGACAAAGATTTTCCTTTGAGGCGACTCAAGAACAGACAAAGTGCTGACAGGACAACCGGAAGGTGATGGTAACAGATATGACAGGGATTTGCGTGCCGTGTAGTGACAGCACTAGAGAAGTCATGGATTCTAGTTCTGCGTATGAAATGTCGTGATTCGTTGCCGCTGAAATCCAGCAGAGCCATGCCTAAGAGGAGCCTGAATAGGCGTTCAAGTAAGCGGGACTGTCAGAGAGCGCCATGCCTAAGAATGGTTGCTACGGCAAAAACAGCTGGATGGATGTACATGTAGCACGTGGTGGTGTTACCTTGCAGCGGTGTTCTCAGTGAGGGTCAATGTCTCGATTTCTTGCTCCGCCTTGACCAGATCCACGTCATACTGCAGGGGAGGTCAGGGATTTGAAATCGAATTTAAATTTTATTGAGGTCGTAACCACAATACAGCAGCAAGGGACACAGGAAAGGGCAGGAAATGACTGCTGTCCTACTCCCTTGCTACACCCTGCCCATGCTTAGATGAGTAATCTGTTCACTATGATAACTGGCATCACAACCCGAAGGGCAAAGTCGGATCCAATTGGGGAAGTTCGTTTAAGATCGATGCAAGGACACCATGACGGATGTAGATGGCATATCAATCATTGCAGGAGCACAAGGTAAGATGGAGGGATAAGGGCAGACCATACGGTTTCGAGGAAGGGGGAGGGGAGGGAGGGCAGCGGCACTTACAGGATCCCTGAGCTCGTGGCCCTGAGAGCGATGGAGACGCGACACACCAGAGCGTGTAACAGCCCCACATGCAGTTCACAACAGCAAGCACAATCCCCTGGCACAATGATGAGTTGCTGCGGTTGCTGCTGCCTCGCATTGCATGGCAGATGCAGCAGCAGCTGCTGCTACATCGGAGCAAGAGCTAGAGCAGGGAGCGCGAGAGAGAGAAGAGCATCAAGCAACAACAGGCAAACAAGCAAGTGACAGTGCTTCAACAGAAAAGACACAGGCTGGCTTGAAGAGGAAAGGATACGAAGAGATACGAGAGACAGCAGAGGAACCAGAGGAACCAGAAAAGGGGAAATAAAGGAGCCTGCCAAAGCGTTGCGAAGCAGGAGGATTAGACAGAAAGACACCTCAAGGGGAAATTACAGCAGGATTTGCGAAGGGAGGGAGGGAACTTTCAGCAAGGTGGCATTATACCTCTTCAACGTCGTCCGAGTCAAGAAGCGACTGGCCATAGGCGTATTGGCCGTAGCTCCTGGCGTTCGAGCCCCCTGTGAGCGAGATGGTGGAGATGTCAAAGTCCCGGTCGCGGCTGTTGAACTCATCGTCATCGCTGTCCCCTGGCCGGTCGTCCAGAGCTGCTGGCCGCCTGTTAAAGGGAAAGACATGTGGGAGGAGAATCAGATTGGTCCAGAAGCTGAGCCCGGTCACGGTCGTTGAACTCATTATCGTCACCACAGTTGCACAGCCAGTCATCCGGGGCTGCGGGCCGCCTGCCAAAGGGCAGAAGGACGTGGAATGGGAAGGGAGGAGAGCGCATGTGATAATAGGCCAGATGCCAACCATACCGTGATTGCCAAAATCACCATACCCACAACTTTAAAAGCGCTCCACGTCAGATAAAAGGAGCACCCTGCTGCCAGATTCGTTGTTCGTGCTGACAACCCAGCGAGGCTATCAACTGAAGCGCAACTTATTCATTTGCCCATTGAAGGAAGGCACCGAGAGACAGATTCGGCTGACTACAAAGCCATGTTCTGGGGCTAGTCTTGACTCTAAAGCGATCAGGGAAGAGGGACGCTTACCCGCAAGACCACTGATAGACATTTTCCAGCAAGAGACGCTTTCTGAGCACGTTCTTCTGCCAGTCGGACCACCGCGCATTTGCCTGCACGGGGAGGAAGGAGGTGAGCCGCGGATCACAATGTCGTGAGCACATGTATAGACGAGTTGTCATGGACGAAAGCTACTCTTTACAAGAGAGTTTTGAGAATTCTCAAATATCTCTCGTGAGCACATGTACAGACGAGTTGTCATGGACGGAATCTACTCTTTATGGCAAAGGGAAAATTCCTACACAGTGTAGAAACTTACCCTGACTGGCACACAACGCTACTTTCACCTACATCTCCAGATGCACCCACCTGAATGTAGCCTTCGATTTGTGGGTTTGAGGCTCCGAGCTGGCAGATCCTGTTGGCTATTCTCGTCAGGTGCCCCATGTACCCGCTCCGCGCAGGCACTCTGGCTGACGCCGCTCGCGGCTGCTCCCAGCAACACAGGAAGGCCACAGAAAGACAATGTCACTGGGATAATTTTAAGCTCAGAGATCTGTGTGAGGAACTGGATGTGCAAGCTGGGGCATGCGAAGGGAGAAGCGGACAGAAACGATGGCATGGGGACACGGGAACCTGGTGTAACGATGGTATGGGGACGAAAGGCGTACCTCTGGCCGTGAGTCTGGCGCATGGGGGTCGTCGTAAGCAGTCATGACTCGGTTGAGCATGTCGCACTCCACAAAGAGATGCTCCAGCAGCAGCGAGCTGCCGCTCTCGAGGATGGCCATCACCATTCTCTCCACGTGATGGTGCAAGAAGTTGTTGAAGTGAAATCTGAGGAGACGCAGTGGACAACCGTGCAACACATATTGCTAAGGTTTTTTTAACGGAAATTTGACATTGGTCGTAAGCAATTTGTGTGATTAACACCCGAATGGTGAAATGTAACAGTGCAGGTTAACAGTAGCAAACCAGGGGGGAGAGGGAGGGGAAGAGCGGTGGGTGGAGAGGGGTGGGGAGTGGGGGGAAGCGCACCTAAAGAAGAGATCCAGACAAGTGCGCACGCCGCCGAGCCTCACGAGCTCCTCTCTCACTCGTTCACTGTTGGTGCCGAGGAGGACCCCTATGAACTCCACAATCTGTTGAGAAAACCACCAGGCAAAATCAACACGGGTCAAGAAAGCAGAATGGCAGCAGATGATAAAAGCAAGCTAGGAAAGAGACCTCGTGATGATAAGTCTTCTGCTCTCGCAACAAAATTTGTACCTTGAGGCGGTGGATTCCAAGTGGAGGCCGTAGTTCTCCATAAGTTG